CCTCATCATCATCATCATCATCATCATCATCATCATCATCATCATCATCATCATCATCATCATCATCATCATCATCATCATCATCATCATCATCATCATCATCATCATCATCATCATCATCATCATCATCATCAATCATCTCATCATCATCATCATCATCATCATCATCATCATCATCATCATCATCATCATCATCATCATCATCATCATCATCGTCATCGTCATCGTCATCGTCATCGTCATCGTCATCGTCATCGTCATCGTCATCGTCATCGTCATCGTCATCATCCTCCTCCTCCTTCTCCTCCTCCTCCTCCTCCTCCAACATCGTGGTCGTGGTGCGTGTTGCTCTGCTCGGGGTTCTGTTTCCCTTATGCAGTGACCACCCACTTGGCTTGCCAGGCATTGCACGCCGCCTGGCTGTCCGTCCGTCCGTCTGTCTGTCTGTCTTCCCGGCTCTCTGAGCCGCGGCGCTTTGAGCTTCTTAGCTCGGGGACGCGTCGGCCACCGCCGCCCTCTCCCTTGTCGGTGGCCCTGACGAGGTTGGGGGAGAGGGTGCCGAAACGCGCCCAGAGTCCAGCAAGGCATGAGGGTGCAAACCCGACTTGTCTGGCTGATGCTCTGGGGGGGCCTGTGCTCAGGGGAGGCTGCAGCACCGCTCAACGATGTGCTGTTTAACCGAACCTGCAGGGTGGGCCCTTTCCCAAATCCGTGCTTCGGTGCGGATCGTAAGCGCGCCTCGTCTCCGTCGTCGTCGTCGTCGGCGTCGTCGTGGTCGTGGTGCGTGTTGCTCTGCTCGGGGTTCTGTTTCCCTTATGCAGTGACCACCACCACCCTCCTCCAACAACTCCTCCAACAACTTCCCATCCTTCTCCCAAATGCCGCTTCTTACTGTTAATGAAAGCCCTTCGCTTCACTCCTCCTCCTCCTCCTCCTCCTCCTTATCGTCATCATCACCATCACCATCATCATCATCATCATCATCATCATCATCATCATCATCATCATCATCATCATCATCATCATCATCATCATCATCATCATCATCATCATCATCACCATCACCACCACCACCACCACTATCATCATCATCATCATCATCAGCATCATCATCATCATCATCATCATCATCATCATCCTCATCATCATCATCAGCATCATCATCATCAGCATCATCATCATCATCATCATCAGCATCATCAGCATCATCATCATAATCATCAGCATCATCATCATCATCCTCGTCATCCTCATCATCCTCATCATCATGATCATCATCATCATCATCATTATCATCGTCATCAGCATCATCATCATCATCCTCATCATCAGCAGCATCATCATCAGCATCATCATCAGCAGGAGCATCAGCATCAGCATCAGCATCACCATCAGCATCAGCATCATCAGCATTATCATCATCACCATCACCATCATCATCATCAGCAGCAGCATCAACATCAGCATCATCAGCAATGTCATCAGCATCAACATCACCATCATCATCATCATCATCATCATCATGACCATCATCATCATCATCAGTATCATCATCCTCATCATCATCATCATCATCATCATCGGTGCCTCCCTTCCTCCCTCCCTTCCACTCCTCCTCCTCCTCCTCCTCCTCCTCCTCCTCCTCCTCCTCCCCCTCCTCCAGCATCACTTCTCCTGATGAGTAAACCCTCCCTGTCGCACCACCAGACGTGTCTGTGGGCCGGCCTGGGCATTCCGCATCAGGCTTCTGTACGAGGCGCTATATCAATTTGAAACTTCCAGAAGTGACATGGATAGAGTCGTGACTTTTGAAAATGAATCTCTAGCCTTGGAGCCCCAGACATTACCTTTCTGAAACGCTTGCAACAATTACACGGATGGAGGCCACTGCCTTTTCAGAGTGAGTCTCTAGCCTGAGACTTCCTCAAAAATGCCACGAGTATAAAATGCGCACCTGTTACACGGACGCAAGGAGGTTCTTTTGAAAAATGCGGTTATCGCTTGACACACTAAGAAAATAAGAGACCAGAAGCTTCAACTGATGCAACAGTTGCTCGGTTCGGATGGAGAACGATTCCATCATCCAATTAGGGCTATCCCATGAGGCGACCAGAACTGTAAGAACATGCATCAGTTACAAAACGAGACTATCGCTGGACACCTCGTCGAATTTGACGGTCCAATCTAGTTGCATTTCAATCCACCAGATGGGCACAATGCAGCTCCTTTCCTAAATGGGGCTCTCCCCTGAATTGCAGGTCCACGGTGCTCGTCTTTCGACGGGCGTTCCCTGTAACGAATGTATGAGGCCTGTACGGTGCTTGTACGGACTGTACGGGGCTTGCCTTTCGACGGGGCTTGTACGGACGTAAGAGGCGGGAACGAGGATCTTTGGGGGCATTTTTGATACATCTCGGGTGTTCTATCTTCCTCCTCCTCGTCCTCATCCCTGATCCCTCTCCCAAACTTACTATAAGGACATGTTGTAGGACGATCGATCAGAACACATCTCCGTTCACGAAGACACTGGAGCTAAACGACGACGTAGGAAATAGCATCCCCCCGATGACCAGCAACCAGGACGAATTCATATACCCCTGCCTCACCGTGGACAGTGCAAGGCCTGCATTGAAAGCAAGAGTAACAATTTAGCTTACATCGAAAGGCGCCGCGCTCTGAGCGCACAACTCAACTTTGGCGTGCAGGGTAAGGACGGGGCACCCTCGGACGCTCATGCATCGCCCTCGGCGTTTCCAACTCTCTCTGGGCGGAGAGTCCTCCGTCATGGTAGTGCTGGCCGTCGTCTTCGCCGATCGAGGATCGAGGTTCGCGGGTTCGGGCGTTTGACGCGTTGGGCCCTTTCAGTGTCCCTGGAGGTCTTACAGATGCCGACGTGGCGCAGGTGTTTGTCTTAACGCGGCTTGGCGCATCCCCTGAGCATATTGTCGGTGAACGCAAACACGCGCCGAAAAGTCCGTCCTTGGAGTACACGTGAGCACGACTGTAGCACACAAGAGAGAACACGTCTGTGTACCGATGACTTCATATCTCATGACACGATGCTACCTCTTGGGAGATCCGTAGGCCCTGCAGAGCGTCGAAGGCACACATCCCTATGTGCTGGATCGCACTGGAGCATCGTGGGCATCCGCTGAAAAGTTCAGAACTGGCGCTGGGATGGGATAGACGGCCTGAGGTTGAGGCAAGACGGAGGAAGAAAGGCAACCCCCAGGAGGCTGAGGAGAAGGGTGGAGGCGCAGGGAGGGCGAAGCAAGAGGAGAAAAAGCGATGCCAAAAACGCCCCCTGCGACTGCACTCGAGACAGGCGAGCGCGCACCCAGCGAAAGCGCGCCTGCTCGGGCTCACCGAGCGCGTGGGCGGGGTGACGGTCTCCTGCGGCTGGGTGCTTTCTCGCGTCTCCGCACTGGCCTCCGGCTTGTGCCTCTGCTGGCCCCCTATTCCCCCCTTCGTGGTCCTCCTGCTCCTCACATACTCCCCTCCTCGCTCCTGCGCGTCCTCCCCCTTCTTCTCTTTCTCTTCCTACTCCTCCGCCACCTCCTCCTCCTCCTCCTCCTCCTCCTCCTCCTCCTCCTCCCCTCCTCCTTCCCCCCCTCCTCCCCCTCCTCTTCCTCCTCCTCCTCCTCCTCCTCCTCCTCCTCCTACTCCTCCTCCTCCTCCTCCTCCTCCTCCCACCAACGTCTCCTCCTCCTCCTCCTCCTGATCATCACGATCATCAGCAGCAGCAACAACATCATTATCATCATCACATCATCATCATCATCATCATCATCATCATCATCATCATCATCATCATCATCATCATCATCATCATCATCATCATCATCATCATCGTCGTCGTCGTCGTCATCATCATCATCATCATCATCATCATCCTCATCATCATCATCCTCATCCTCATCATCATCATCATCATCATCATCATCATCATCATCATCATCATCATCGTCATCATCATCATCATCATCAGCATCGTCATCATAATCATCATCATAACCATCATCAGCATCAGCATCAGCATCAGCATCAGCATCAGCATCAGCATCAGCATCAGCATCATTATCATCATCAGCAGCAGCATCAGCATCAGCATCAGCATTATCAGCATCATCAGCATCATCGTCATCAGCATCGTCATCATCATCATCATCAGCAGCTCATCGTCAGCAGCATTAACATCATCATCATCATCATCATCATCATCATCATCATCATCATAAGCATCATCATCCTCCTCCTCATCATCATCATCATCGTCATCATCATCACCATCATCATCAGCATCCTCATCATCATCATCACCATCATCATCATCCTCTCATCATCATCAGCAGCAGCATCATTGTCATCAGAAGAATCATCATCGTCAGCATCATCAAAATTACAATCATCATCATTATCGTCATCATCATCATCATCATCATCATCAGCATAATCATCATCATCATCAACAACATTATCATCATCAGATTCATCATCATCACCATCATCAGCACCACCACAACCACCACCACCACCACCACCACCACCATCATCATCATCATCATCATCATCATCATCACCATCGTCATCATCATCATTATCATCAGCACATCATTATCATGATCATCATTAGCAGCATCAGCAGCATCATCATCATCATCATCATCATCATCATCAGCAGCAGCATCGTCGACATCATGACAAGCAGCATCATCGAAATCATCAGCATCCTCATCATCATCATCATCATCATCATCATCATCATCCTGATCATCCTCATAATCATAATCAGCAGCAGCATTATTGTCAAAATTATAGTCATCATCATCATCGTCATCATCATCATCATCATCATTAGCAGCATCATCATCATCATCAGATTCATCATCATCATCATCATCATCATCATCATCATCATCATCATCATCATCATCTGCATCATCACCATCATCACCACCACCACCACCACCACCACCATCAGCATCATCATCATCACCATCGTCATCATCATCATCAGAATCATCAGCATCATCATTATCATCATCATCATCATCATCAGCACCATCATCAGCCGCAGCATCAGCATCAGCATCAGCATCATCATCATCATCATCATCATCGTCATCACCACCATCACCTCCGCCTCCACCACATTCGTCATCATCAGCATCACCATCGTCATCATCATCATCAACATCATCCGCATCATAAGTATCAGCATCATCAGCATCATCATCCTGACCATCATCAGCAGCAGCATCATCATCATCGTCAGCATCATCGTCATCGTCATCATCATCATCATCAGCATTGTCATCCTCTTCATCGTCATCATCCGCATCATTCTCATCGTCATCATCATCATGAGACTCTTCATCATCATCATCATCATCATCATCATCATCAGCAGCAGCAGCATCATCGTCATCGTCATCATTAGCATCATGTTCATCATCATCACCACCATCATCATCGTTATTATCAGCCTCTTCATCGTCATCAGCATCATCATGAGACTCATGATCATCATCGTCATCATCAGCAGCAGCACCAGCATCGTCAGCATTAGCATCATGATCATCAGCATCAGCATCAGCATCATCATCATCATCATCATCATCATCATCATCAGTGTCATCATCATCATCATCATCATCATCATCATCATCATCATCATCATCATCATCATCATCATCATTATTATTATTATCAGCAGCCTCATCATCAGCAGCAGCGGCATATGCAGCATCATCAGCATCATCGTCATCAGCATCAGCATCAGCGTCAGCATCAGCAGCATCAGCATGAACAACGTAATGATCATCTTCACCACCATCATCACCATCATCATCGTCATCATCATCAGCATCTCATCACAATCATCACCACAATCAGCATCATCGTCATCATCCTCATCATCATAATCATCACCGTTATCGTCGTCATCATCAGTGTCATCATCAGCATCATCAGCATCATCAACACCATCATCATCATCACCATCATCATCATCATCATCATCATCATCGTCATCATCATCATCATCATCATCATCATCATCATCATCATCATCATCATCATCATCGTCATCGTCATCGTCATCGTCATCATCATCATCAGCAGTATCATCATGAGCAGCAGCATGGTCATCATCATCGTCGCCATCGTCACCAACATCACCACCATAGTGATCAGCAGCAGAAGCATCATCACCCACAAGATCAGATTCTTGATAATCTGTTTTGAAGTATATGATAATGCCAGCACTCGTATGCGTAGTAGTAGACTTCTCATGCTTCTTCCACATCCTCATCATCAGCATCATCATGATCACAATCATGATCATCGTTATCATCGTCATCAGCAGCGACAAAATCATCATCAGCAGCAGCAGCAGCATCATCATCATCATCATCAGCATCATCATCATCATCGTCATCAGCATCATCAGCATCATCATCAGTATCAGTATCATCATCATCATCATCATCATCAGAAGCATCATCAGCATCAGCATCAGCATCAGCATGATGATGATCATCATCATCATCATCATCGTCATCATCGACAACAATAACATCATCATCACCATCATCATCAGCAACATCATCATCATCACCATCACCATCATCCTCCTCATCATCCTTTGTCCTCCTCCAACTCTTCTCCTCTTCCTTCTGTTAGCCCTCTCCTCTCGTTTCACTCCTTCTTCTCCCAGTCCTCCTCCTCTTCCTCTTCACTCCCCTCGTCAACCCCTTTTGCTCAACCGAAGCTGCCGTCGCCATCAGTACGCCCGTCCCTGCCCTCTCTTCGGAACTATGGCCGATCTTCCCCGAGCTGTCTGGCAGCCGACCGCAGCCTACTGGCCACGATCCTTCACCGCGGCCCCCTGCATTCGACGCCACGCATAACTACCTGCGTATCTTACACCCGTCCGCGTAACTAGCTCGGCCTTCTTCGCGGCCGGTGCCCGTTGGCTGGTCGTCCGGGGCCGCGGCACGGCGCGCCAGCAGCTGTGGGGCGTGAGTCAGTCTCGCCAGGTGTCGGTTTCGCTTCGCACGGGGGTGATTTTGCCAGCGTCGGCTTCTCTGGCGGTCGCATTCGCCAGGGGTCGGTTCCGCCTGGGTCGGTTTCGCCAGGGTCGGTGAGGCCGGGGTCGGTTTGCCTGGGGTCTGTTTCGGCAGTGCCTGTGCGTCCAGCGATGGGCGCCCGTTTTCCTGTCACCCCAGCGTTCGCACGCGTGCGTAGCGGGCGGGTCGGGACAAGCGGACGGACCCTAACGGGACGGACCCCGACGGACGACGGGTCAAGTCGGGCGGGCGGCGGGCGAAACCCACTGGGCGAAATCGACCGAAGGCGAAACAGACCTGGCGAAGCCGACCGAGGGCGAAACCCACCAGACGAAATCAACCTGCGGGAAAACGGCCTTGCGAAACTGACGGGGCGAGACTGAACCCCGGCGAAACCGACCGGGCGAGACCCAACCCAGGCAAAACTGAGGCCCCCGCTGCCACCCCCATCCCACGCGCTCGGCCCCGATGCTCGAGGCTTCCCAGATAGTCCGAGTAGATGGGATCGGAAAATTGCGCCGCATCGCCGATGCATCGCCGATGCATCGGTGATGCATCGGCGATGTCAACAATGCAGCGGCGACGTCGGCATGACGAATATCCGGCTCCTCATCAAGCGCATCGCCGATGCATTGGCGATGCGGCGCGATCCCCCTGACCCGGTGGGTCGCCCGCGCCACGCACACGACCCATCGCGAAGTGCCCGCACGGCGGTTGCGGGTCGAGGCACAGGGCCCGGCCCGCAGCGGTCCGGGCGGAGAGTTGCGGTTTCTCCGTCTGCCCTCCTGCTCATCCTCCTCCTCCTCCTCCTCCCTCCTACTCCTCCTCCTCCTCCTCCTCTTCCTCCTCCTCTTCCTCCTCCTTTCCTCCTCCTCCCTCCTCCGCCTCCTCCTCCTCCGCCTCGTCCTCCTCCTCCTCCACCTCCTCCTCCTCCTCCTCCTCCTCCCCTCCTCCTCGTCATCCTCCTCGTCCTCCTCCTCCTCCTCCTCTCCTCCTCCTTCCTCCTTCCTCTTTCCTCCTTCCTCCTTCGTCCTTCCTCCTTCCTCCGCCCCCTCCTCCCGTTCCACATCCCTCCTCCTCCTCCTCCTCTCCTCCTCCTCCTCCTCCTCCTCCGCTCTCTCCGCCTCCCTCCCCGCCTCCTCCTCCGCGCCCCTCCTCCTCGGCCGCCTCCTGCTCCTCCCTCCTCCTCGTCCTCCTCCTATCCGCCTCCGCCCTCCGCCTCCTCCTCCTCCTCCTCCTCCTCCTCCTCCTCCTCCTCCTCCTCCTCCTCCCACTCCTCCGCTCCTCCTCCTCCTCCTCCTCCTCCTCCTCCTCCTCCTCCTC